CATTTAGCTGTTTCTGACTCAGCTGACACTATTCTTACAAGATTAAGGACCACCGAGGTGGATCCCTGAGAGTTAGGGTGTTTTTCCATAGGAAACTAAGACACTCTGGTTTGAGGTCTGATGATTTTGTCCTCACAGCCCTGATGGTTTCTCAACGCTCAACATAGAATTTTTCCTTATCATTTCTGTTATTTGTAGGAGGGTGAATTTGTGAGGGTAAAAACACAAGTGACATGTGTCTGGATAAGTGGACTAGAGGAGGGGAATGGAGGAAAATGTCCATCCATGAGTAGAAACCCTAAGATCTGTAGGCATTTGTTAAAGTGTCAATAATAAGATACTGAAAAGACTCAAGTTGTGTTACTTCCTGGTGATTCCATCATTGATTATACGAATTAGTCATCTTGGAGAAGAGATACATCTTACGTGATCAACCTTAGTCAAGTCACACTCATGCCTGAGTGCTGCTTGCTGGCATAATGTGTGACTATCCACTTCAAGTCACACCCCTGCCAAATACTGTGAAGATCCACTGTAATCTCAAAGACATGTATTTTGAATCCACAGATAGGCCATTAGAAAAGGATGGCCAACCTGTGCCCTTGACTTTACTGCCTTTAAAGGCCCACCAGAGGTCAGCTCTAAGTCAGTTCCTACGCTATGGTGCTCAACAACAACCACTTGATTAAAGGATAGAACAGAGAGAAAAAGGATGCAGTGAGAAACTTTCTACCTCCAAGAAGAAAAGGCTCTGGATCCCTTCCTTGATCATCTCCCAGATCTTGAAGGACAAGACTCATGGAGATTTTTCCAGCAAAGCTGAGTCCACAATTGTTGTGAGCACAAGGATCTTTCCTCTGAGAGAAAGCCTCCCTTAGAGCTGATAGTCCATATGTGGACTTAGAGTCTCCAGAAGTGACAACAAAGAACTGTTTCCTCTAGTAATCGACTTCTGTTTGAGGGAGAAATCAATGTACACATGAAAAGACCTATTGCATTCGAATAATCTGCTGCCCAGGACCTCTCTAAAGTGCTACCGGGCCACAATGTCAGTTTGAAGATTATGGTGGGCCAGGATTTTTTACAATTACTTCCTATACATCTGAAAGGAAGACAAGGACTAAAGTTTGCCAAAGAAAAGATTTGTGATACTGAAGCACATGTATTATACCACACCCTGCTGAAAAAATAAACAAGTCTTTTCTTGAAGCAGTGCAAATGGAGGGCTATTTAGGCAAAGTTGTTGAAAGTTTGTCTCACACACTCAGGGCTCATTGCCGTAAGGGGCGAGACATTGGAAAAGGACATCTTTATTAAAATGATGGGTATCAGAGAGAGAGAGAGAGAGCAAGCTCTTCAACAATATACATTGACATGGTGACTAGTAGTGGACTGGAGTATATCAGAGCTCGAGAAGACAGTTCAGGGTCAGCCAGGGTTTAGATCTCTTGTTCACAGGACACTCTGTCTTAGTTAACGTGATTGCACCCAAAGGAAAACGATAACCCCAGGAAAATACATAGAAATTAAAACAATCAATCCAGGATGATCAGAAGTCCTGCAGGAAGAAAGCTCAGAAAGGGAAGAGAATGGATGAGTAGATGATGGAAGAGAAGGAAGAATGGATGAAGTAAGAGAATGGAACAGAATATCTCATTGCAAGAAGAGAAAACAAAGTATTATAATGAAACGAGCAAAGAGTTGACGTTTAGAAACCAACAGTGAATATTTTTTACAGTGGGCAAGGATAAAGGGGAAAATTCTAAGCCTAGATTTACAAAACAATTGATATAAACTGATGATGCTTGAGATACTGTTCCCATTACACACTTGAAATCTTCTTTGCCAAAGTGTCACTTTGTGTTCTCTGCTCATTTTGTAAATGGTCTGTACAGACAAATCGTGAAAGAAACTATAGACCATCTGTACAGTGGAGTCCTGTGCATCATAAAAATCAGTCCAGAATACATGATATCCTGTAAAATATGGAATTCTACAACATATTATACTTGTTAAGATATAGATTAGTCACCAAAGAAGAGTTATGATATAAATCTACTATTTTAAGGAGCTAAGTTTATGGATAAAGAGAATAATCTTTGGATGGTAAACATGGAATCCAAGGGTGAGGGGAATAGTAAAAGTTAATTAGAAAGTTTGAGTGAAAAAATGTATATTCAATAAAATGTTGGTTTGATATTCTACATAATTCTTGAATCGCTTATCAATTATAATCAATATTATGAAATAAAACTGGTACATATGAAGGAATAAGAAAAGTAATATCGTTAGTAAATTTCCAATGATCAGAAAATAAATTTTTAAAGATAAACAAAATCAGTACCCTTTATACACCAAATACCCTAATCCACAGACACACTTGAAAAAAGGTGTCATTTTGATAAAAGTTTTATCCAAAGTTTATCAAGAATACCTGAAATGAAACATTGAAAAATGACAATAACAAAAATATCCAAAACAGGATGTGAATGGACTTTTCTTCAGGGAAGATAGACATGGTCAATAAAACTATGAAAAATATTCAACATCATTGATCATAGGGAACAGGAACCAATGAAGGCATCAACAGATAGCCCTTGACACCCACTAGGGGGAGCACTCTAAGAAAGGTGTGAGGTATCAAGTGTGGGGGACAACTTGAAACCCTTTCAATACCGGTGGAATTAATATTGTACAACCCTGAAGAAAACAATTTGAAAGTTCTTCATAACGTTAAAGCATCACTATATATGACCCATTCATTCCAGGCCTAGGTACAGCCCCAAACGTACTGCAAGCAGGAACAAGGTTAGAAAGGTTCAGCGAAAGAAGAGATATAAAATAAAATGTTACGGTGACAATCTAATTAATTCATTAATAGCCTGTCAATTATAATCAATATTATGAAACTAAATATGTATATATGAACAAATGAGATAAGTAATACTGTTTTTTTAATACTGTAAATTTATCTTCCACTGACCATAAAATAAATTTTTAAAGACAAAATAACCCCAGTCATTTGTACACTAAATACCGTGATCAATGTTGTTGATGTTGTTAAGTGCCGTCAAGTGCTAATCACCTCATAGCAACTGTATGAATGAAAGACCTGGACAGTTGAATAATTTTCATCCTTTCTTCAAGTTCATAGGATTTCCTGAAGCAAGGTATTTTGTCAGCGGGTGTCATTCCTGCTCCCAAGCTTGTTTTAATCAAGGAGTTCCACAAAACACTGTCCACTACGGGTAGCCTTTATGGCATTTGAACATCAGTGTCACAGTGTTCAGCTTGACAGCAACCATGAGTTAGTTCTGTACAGCAATCAGACAGATGAGGACTATATGACCTAGAATATGTTTGACAAAAAACAATTAAAAATAGTGCCTTGGATTAAAGTAACCCGTCTTTGGCTTGCTAGCATCACTTTCTGTTCACTAGGCCAACTGATCTCTTTCTTTGCTGTTGTTGTTTTTGTTGTTAATTGCTGTTGAGTCTTAGGCAACTCATAGCGACCCTATGAATGAAAGACCTGAACGCTTATATAACTTCCATCCTTTCTCCAGGTTTATAGGGTTTCCAGAAGCAAGCTATTTTGAAAGCAGATGCCATTCCTGCTTCCAAGCTTGTTTAATCAGGGAGCTCCACCAAACACTGTCCACCATGGGTGGCCATTATCACATTTGA